AAATTCTTTTAGTAAAATAATTTTATGATATAAAAATATAAAATAATAACCTGTATGATCGTGGTGACCGTTCATTTTCATATGAGTTGTCAGGAATATCATCAAAAAAATCTTGAGCTCTTGGACGTGCATAAGTTGGATTATAGCTTGGAGATGTGGGTGTATATTGGGGTGACATCGGATCATAATGCGGTGATTCTGGATTGTAGTTCGTATTAATTGGTGAATATTCTGGTGACATCGGAGAATAAACAGGAGATTCCGGTCTAATATGCTCAGAATTAAAGGACGACGACGAAAATGTTGCAGTTACTTGCTCCTGAGATGTGGAAACGTCATTAATCGATGGCATCGGCTGTGGAGGTGAGTAAGCTGCCGGCGGTGTATGTGGTAGATTTTGTCCAAGGCTAGACGTTGTTGAAGAACTTGGTTCTTGCATATATTGAGGTGTTGCTGGTTACAAATCATTTATGGATTTCAACATCGAACTTTTCATATAATATTGAAGCTTTAATTAATTATACCTGGAGAATACGCTGGAGAATTATTGGAAAAGTAAATTTCCGGTAAAGTCTGTTGAGCAATCGAGGTTGACGGAAAACGACTAGCATAGACAATGGGTGACGGATGTCTTGGTGAATATGTTGAAGTATTCTCGTTCTCCGTGCGTTCGGATGATATTTCATCACCGTTTCGAACATTAAAATTGTTACTATACATATCTCGAGTCTCAGCGCTTGGTGACCATTCATCATCGGACATATCATCCGGAACCGGGGTATGCGAGCCATGATCATGATCTGAGTCATCTGATACGTTTTCGTTATTATGATTCGTTCCTTGTGCATCCGAATAGCTAGATTCATTTTCCTCATCTTCAGTTTCAATTGTTTCGATTGCTCCGTAATCATTATAAACTAAAGTTGTTATTTCTGTGCTTTCATCATATCCATCATCATATTCAGTGTCCAAAGGAAAAAATCTAATATTAGGAGTTACAGAACGTAAAGCTGTCGGCATATTATCTCTCTCTGATTCTGATTCTGAATATATACGATCAGTACGAACTCGTGATCGGTCATTAGTATCTTTGCGCATACGAAGATTTCGTGGTATGGCGTTACTTGCGTTCTTGAAATTTGACGTAGAAACAAAACATGTAGACCAACCCCTATTAAAATGGATAGGTAAAAAAACAATCGACATATGCAAGTATTAAATTAATGAATGTGTCCATTAACCTTACCATTCATTAGAAACCTCACAAACAGCTATAGTTTGACCTGTATTAACATTCCAAATTCGACATGATCTATCGATACTGCATGAAGCCAAAAATTGACCACAAGAGCTAAACGATATATTAGGGATATTGTGTCTATGACCACGAAGTGAATATTTTTGCTTGCTACTCATATCCTGATTATCAGAGAATTTCGCTGATGGTTGTAATCCATATTGTAGGTTGAAAATTGTGATTTCGTGTGAATTAGCACTGACCGCCAGTAACCGTCTTGGACCATGAAGTGCTATACCCCATGTGGATTCATTATTTCTATAGCCAACAGAATTTAA